TTCTCCCGGCCCTAGAAAATCATGCGTTAGGGGGCTTTTACTTATTATGATTTGGTGTTACAATAACGTTTATCAAATAATTTAAAAATTCCAGGCAAATTTGCCTGGAAAACAGTTTAAGGGATAATATTTATTACATATTAAAGCTTCTAAAAAAATGCATAATACGTAAATTGTTACTTTGATCTCTTGACTATTCTTCTCGACAAATTTTAAAATCTTGGTTGTTCGGAATTATAACTCATATTGAACTTTTCTTACTAGTGTCTTATATGTATTCATGCTCTAATTAAATATTATAAATAAAATGAATTAATAAAGAAATCAATGTAAAAAATACCTCGCCAAAAGTTGCGAATAGTGCTAAAATAGCATATCATTTTCCCAAAGAATCATTACACTATGATTACTCATTATTATTATTGGATGCTTCACTTTTAATAAAGAGGTCAGTCCAAATGTAAATCTGTGCGAAACTAAACAAACCTGAAAATAAAATTCTTTATTTTAACATAACGAGATTTAATTTTTAATGATGCCATCAAAATAAACTCTACTAGATGAAACTTATTAGAACATAAAACATCAAGTTTCACTCAGCATAATTATGACATATTACCTATAAACAAGCCATGAATAAATAAGTTACCTAATGGAAAAACATTTGAAAAGTAAGAATCAATTTATAAGATTAAAAATATTAGGTGCGAAGAGAATTGTTAAAAATTTCTTTTTAATACACATTGAAATTTTATGTCAGAAAATTTTGATGGTGCGTACGAAACTTGTGCTATTTGTTATCCACACAATACAAAATAAACAGTTTTCTAAAATTAATTCATTTCATGTGCATAATATACGTTATATATGTTATGCAAATTTCACGTTACTATTAATAATTGTCGCGGATCATAATTTAAAATGAAATCTACATTTTCTACTCAACCTGCTTCTAAAACCCATTTATACTTGTTTATTATAACTTTACTTTAAAACTAACCCCTAACCCTAACCCTTAACCCTAAAAAATGCACCCCAAAAATTTTATTTTTCGAGATTTTATATTATAATTTCATTTTGATCTGGATTTCATTATGATCCGTCACAATAATTTTCTATAAGTTTTTTTTTTACCACCAAACCATGAATGCATCAAACAATGCAAATTATAATCAGAGTATTTTAAAAGTAGAATTTGAATGCTCTTAAAGAATTTTTATTATTACTACTCCAGCTAAACATAATTATAGCCTAGAATTTTAAAAAATTTCAATTTCTGGTTTTACACAATCTTGCCGCACAGTTGCCTTATAATACAATATTTTATGATCTGCTAAAAAAGTACAATTACTCAAAAATTTGCAGGAATAATTGTTAACAGAATATAAAATATGAATTCAAATAGTTATATCCCATAAACTAGCTTATATATTTAGTCATTCATTAGCCCATTTGTTTACCCATTCTTTAACTTTTCTCAAGATTTCATTAATTTTCTGTTCATCATAGTCAACTTTTTTTTTTAAAGCTTTTTTAGATTTTTCATAACATATTTCGCACTCCTCTTTAAAAAACATTATTAGATCAAAATATGCAATTGCTAATGCCAAACATAAGACTTTCTCATTCTCAATTCTAATATTTTAAAATTATTTTTACCGAACCAAGAATAAAACTTGTTAAATGGTAGAACCATCAAATGATTAAAATTCAAGAAAACTATAAAGTGTTTCAATTTTTGAAGGGTTCATTTTTCAGAAGTGGCTTCAAATGCAGATAGAATGGGTTTGTTATATAAAAATGTGCAATTTAATGTGATTTAACTCAGAATGATTATATGCTAATCGTTCAGAAAACTCTTCTTGCATACCCATCATTTTTGAGAAATTTGGAGATAGAAGTGATGCACCTATTAACACGTTATACAGTTGTATCTACTATGAAGTAAAATAATATCATTCTTATTGAATAATTTAATAAGTATCTGATAACTCACGTGAAATATATCGATCATTTTCTCTGTTTTAGGGTGATCAAACTCAGAACGAGTATACCTTTTTAAGAAATTTGATGCGGAAACATAATGTGAATCATTTGAAAGAGGAAAGATGATGTCTCTATTAATATATTATAGAGTTAATGAATAGTTGAAGTAAAATAAGGTCATTCTTATTGCATAAGTTAATAAGTACCAGTTTTGGCAGGTTTTGGCTGTTTCAGAGTTGGTGTAGAAAATTTTGACGATGGAGTTGTTAACATTCTAAAAGGAGCAGTAGGAGTTATTGATTTAATATTAGGATTGTAATATGTAGGCATTTTAACATATGAAGGCAATGCGTTAATATTAAAGGTGGCAGAATAAGAGTGGCTAATTGAGCAGGAGCAGGAACCATATTTGCTGGAAGTGTCTATATTTATTTATTTATTGTAATTAGAAAAATAGTAACAGCCTTCACAACAAACTTTTCCAACCTGTCGTCGGATTATCTTATCAGTCTGCTGTAGGCCGGTTATCTAACATAATTCAAAAAAAATCCATTTGTTTTGTTTAATCATTGTAAAAAAAAAAATAAAAATAAAACAAAACAATTAAATACTAGCTACTAATTAAAAAAATAAAATATAATATAATAGAATAGAAAAATAAAAAAAAGCTTTCACATACTTTTTGTCTCACTAGTTTTATCTCTTTTTCTCAAAATGAAACATTATCTTTTGTTGATAATGTTGATTTTTGTTCATCTGTTATTGTTAAAGATAAAGCTTGTACAGGAGGAATATCATCATGAACCTTCGTCCTGCCTCGAAAATTAAAACTTTCATGTATTTCTAATGATTTTGGGCTATAAGCTGAAGTTTTAGCACTTATAAACATATACAGTTAAAGTCTTGAATTAAAATAATATCATTTCATTGCGTAATTAATTACGCGCAGTGTAGAGTGATATAAGACATTCGTGGAATGATTAGACGTTATAATACTATAAAAATATTATACAGCTAAGTCTAGTTTTAGTTTAAATAATATTTTGTTACATAATTACTTAATATACAACACCTGATGACCTAATTAGAACGACTCTTTGATTCGGAAAATCCTTAGTTACAGTCACTAATTCATTATCTTTTTCGTCAATTGCAAGAAAACTATTATATAATATCAATGCGACTATCATTAATTATTCAAAAGTTTTTGATAAAAAGATCTGGTTATTAAAATTAACCTATATCAGATATTTCATAAAGGTTTCATACTGTAAGTGATTTATAACTAAGATTCAACACCATCGTAAATTTCATGAATGCACATCAAATAAATGATAGTATAAAATTTATGAAATATAATTAGTTATAGTAATTTAATAACCAATCCAAAAAATTTCGCCATCTATTATCGAGAATACATATTAAAAGTTACCTTGTGTATTTAGAAGCTAAACTATATTTTGTACCTAATTTCACAGTTTGCTCACGAATAAATGAAATAGGTATTGGCTTCTCACTATTCTTTGGGTGCTTATGAATAAATGAAGTACCATCATCAAGATCTTGAATAAGCTTTCAAGCAGCAAGTGTATACATTTTTGATCCTTGTAAAATTACTGGATCTATTGGGATAGAGAGTTTCATTGGACCGTCATGAGACTTTGCACTCAATATAATTTCTTTACAAGCTTCAACATCTTTTCTAAAATACAATCAACTATGAATCAGGACCAGGATAAATTGGTGGAATTAAAAATGGTGTTGTTGAATTTTATATCAGTAAAGATGTTTTGAGCAACTGGTGGTGGTTCAGAATTATCACTAAAGAAGATAATTGTTGATTTGTCCATATCAACTGACTCGACTTCTTTTGACAAAATATCTTCAAAGGTTTGATTAGTCAAAGTAATACGGTAATCCTTAATAGGAGGTTTTATGCCATTTTTTAGCATTCCAAGAATTTTTTGTCCATTCGTTCATTATTCGTAACAAATTGCGCTATCCTTTACCAGCACGGGAAACAGATTCAACTAAATTATGTGAAACTGAATCACCGATTCCAATTGAAAGAACCTTAAATCATCCTTTTCTTTTCTTCGCTAGATTTGATAAGTTTTGCATATTATTAACTTTACCATCGGTAAGAAGGAAAACAGAAGTTGGCATATCATTTCTTGAAATCTTGAGGACCCATTCTATAGGATTATAAATTTCGGTTCCTCCATAATTTGCCGTCATTTTTGAGCATGTTTGAGAGCTCTTAAAAAAGAATCCTCAGAATAAGGTTGACATTTTTTAAATAGGGAATCAAAATGAGAACCAAATGATAACACATTAAAAAAACAATCTTCAGGTAATGAACGAAGCAAAAATTGGAGTGCTTCAAATGCTTTTTTTATAGGTCACCTCCCATCGAACCGGATCTATTAAGTATGATAACATAGAATTTATAAAGCTGCACGTAATTATACATATCTACAAGAGAAAATTGGGCGCCGGTGGCGCCCCTATTGCATTAATTGTGTCAATTATGGTCAAATTCTTTAATAAATGTCATGTAATTGGCGATACGGGTCGACCCCGGCCCAACGGCCGGGTCGATGGGCGGTCGACCCTCAGCCTGCACCTTTGTGGGCCGGGCCAGTTGATAAGAGAAGTGTTAGAATCATTTCTCTTCTAAGCATATTTTCATGCTAGAAATTGAATAAAAATCTGCTAGCCGTTTATGATAATGTAAGAGAAGTTGGCTTATTTAGGTGATAAATTGGCAAATAGCAAATATAATATAAAGATCAGAAATGTTCGGTGGCATAAACAATCAATCAACATAAAATACTAACGTGCCGAAATTTTCTCAAGGACAAAAAGAATAAAAATTAAATTGTTTACAGGTTTCATAAATTCTGGAAAATCTGGCAAAAATCGACCGACCGAATATAACCGGGGTTAAATCGCCACCCAAAAAAACTTCAGATCATGTGATTTACATTATTTATATATTCAAAAAAAATAAAATATACTTTCATTTTTACTATTTTTTATGAAAATTTCATTAATAAGCATCGTGTGACTGATGTAATTGATATATCGCGATTATTAAATCACATGATCTGAAATTTTTTTGGGTGGTAATTTAACCCCGGTTGACCGAATATTTACGATTCGATAAGTTTTGATAAACTTTTGATTCGGATGTGATTACATCCGAATCAAATGATTATCACTGCCGAATCAAAGCTTATCGAATCGGCAAATATTCGGTCAGTCAACTTTTGCAAGATTTTCCAGAATTTATGAAAACAGCTGTAATATCACAAGAATTCGATAAGATACTACCTGATGGTCTTTTGCAAGTTTAATGTTGACTGATTTTGATCAGAGCTTTTTTAGGATTGACCCCGGCCCACGATTTTTTCATCGACCCGTATCACTACATGTAATTAATATTGAGCCAGGGATTCCACAAGCAGTTGAGTTTGTGTAGCTTCATATTGACCGATGGCCTCTTACCTGCATAATGCAGGCTGGCTATCAACATGACCATGTGATATTTATGTTCAGTAGCTATAATATGGAAATGGCAAATTTCCTTGATAGAGAGGTCAGGGTCGTGAATTGAGATCAGCTAAGGCCGAATTGATGATGGCTAGTATGGAATGAAAACCGCGATTTCCTCTAAATCAGCCGCTTTCTCACAGCATCTATTATTAAGATAGAATTACTACATGCGAAATGTTATTTAGAATCATACTCTTTCTGTAATCTTGATTACATGATTATGCGAGATTGGTCCTGTTTCTGTTGCTATTTCCACAGGGCATATTACCCCTGCTTAGCTCTGTTGCCCTATAAGAAACTTTTACACGTGATTGCACATGACTGCACGAAATATAGCACGTCCAAAGCACGGAAATCAGATCAGTTGCACGGAATC